GTGTGGTGGGTGGGGGAAGTTCTTGTTGAGTTCCACGGAGTGTTGGGTTGGGGAAGTTCTTGTTGAGTTCCTTGGTGTGGTGGGTGGGGGGAAGTTCTTGTTGGGTTCCTCTGTGTGGTGGGTAGGGGAAGTTCTTGTTGAGTTCCACGGAGTGTTGGGTTGGGGAAGTTCTTGTTGGGTTCCTCTGTGTGGTGGGTGGGGGGAAGTTCTTGTTGGGTTCCTCAGTGTGGTTGGTTGGTTGTAGTCCGTGTTGGGTTCCTTGGTGTGTTGGGGGAAGTCCTTGTTGGGTTCCTCGGTGTAGTGGGTGGGGGGAAGTTCTTGTTGGGTTCCACGGAGTGTTGGGTAAGTTCTTGTTGGGTTCCTCGGTGTTGTGGGTGGGGGTAAGTTCTTTTTGGTGGGTGGTGAGAAGTTCTCGTTGGGTTCCTTGGTGTGTTGGGTGGTGAGAAGTTCTTGTCGGGTTCCTCGCTGTGGTGGGTTGGGGGAAGTTCTTGTTGGGGTCCTCGGTGTGGTGGATGGGGGGAAGTTCTTTTTGAGTTCCTCGGTGTGGTGGGTGGGGGAAGTTCTTGTTGGGTTCCTTGGTGTGTTGGGTGGTGAGAAGTTCTTGTCGGGTTCCTCGCTGTGGTGGGTTGGGGGAAGTTCTTGTTGGGGTCCTCTGTGTGGTGGGTTGGGGGAAGTTCTTGTTGGGGTCCTCTGTGTGGTGGGTTGGGGGAAGTTCTTGTTGGGTTCCTCGGTATGGTGGGTTGGGGGAAGTTCTTGTTGGTGTCCTCGATGTGGTGGGTTGGGGGAAGTTCTCATTGGGTTCCTCGGTATGGTGGGTCGGAAGAAGTTTTCGGTGGGTCTGATCTGATCTCCATGTTTCAGGTGGTTGGTGACTCCTTTTCATGTAGGACCGCAGTGGAACTTCTGCAACACATCGTGTCCTCGCTCTCGTCTCGTACCGTCACACTGGAATACCCTTGGGTGTCACATTTCCTGCTGGAGGGTGAAGGGCAGCGCACTCTGCGTGACACTGAGAAGCATCATCAGTGCATCATCGACACCTCGCAGATCTCCTGGAATGCTCTGGATTGTGTGGTGAGTGTCCCGAAGCAACAATTAAAGGGGAACTGTCTTTAATTTCTGTAGATGGTAATGGTGGACTGGGGCTGCCTCTGCTGACCTCTTGATCTGGAACGAGCGTATGTGGCATAATGTGGCGTATATCGGTTTGTGGATTACAATAAAGCTTGGATTTGTAATGGAAGATCCATGGAGGCGAAGACGCACCTTCTACCCAACACCTGGAAGATCTTCACCACAGGAATCCAACCGCAGAATTAGAGCGGTCAGAGTTTGGTATTCTTTGTTTATAGATCCCCTCTGTGCTCGGGGGATTCCCATTGGTCCTCTGTGCTCGGGGGATTCCCATTGGTCCTCTGTGGTGGGGGGATTCCCATCGGTCCTCTGTGCTCGGGGGATTCCCATTGGTCCTCTGTGCTCGGGGGATTCCCATGTGATTCGGTTCCTCATCACTGTGTCCTCTTCTTGTCTCTGGCAGTACATCGATCCCTGGAGTTTCGTCGATGACTCTACAGACACGTCTCCTGTCCAATCTATGGTCACTGATGAGGAGCCAGACAATCAGTTGCTGCAAGCTAACATGGGTGAGACCCTCCTCCTCTCTTTTGTTTCCTGGTTTTGTACACAGTGCAGGGG